GGGGGGGGGGGGGGGGGGGGGGGGCGACACTGTTCAGTGATTTGTAGACATACATGAGTATTTTGAACTGGATTCGAAAGTGAACCGGTAACCAGTGCAGTGAGGTGAAAACTGGTGTAATGTGCTCTCTTTTGCCTGTACTGGTTAAAAATCGGGCTGCTGCATTCTGGACCAGTTGTAGTCGTGCAATGGAGGTCTGACTGATACCAAACAGGAGTGAATTGCAGTAATCAAGCCAAGATGTAATGAATGCATGTATTACTGTCTCCAGGTTATTTTTGGACAATATGGGCTTCAGTTTAGACAGCCGCCTCAGTTGGAAGAAACATGATTTAACAATCATGTTTACATGATTGTTAAGTTTCAGGGAAGGGTCCATTATCACTCCCAGATTAGTGACTCTTTGTTTTTCTGACAGGGTTAGAGTGGAAAGGTCGATGCAGTGGTTTGTGATTGTGTCGCTGGGAGGGAACAACATGACTTCAGACTTCTTTTCATTGAAACTTAAGAAATTTAAAGCCATCCAGTCCCTGATGTCAGCCAGGCAGTTGAGCAGAGGTTGAATAGAGCATGTACCATTAATGTTTTTCTTAGTTCATATCTTAGACCTTATTACTGTTTTTCTATTACATTTTATACATTTGTTGGATGTAAATGGGATCGTTTACACAATTTTGTTCCACCATTTGTGGAATGACAAATAAAGAACTTTGAATCCTTGAAATTATCTATAGAGGCATTTAAAGATATGAAGACTTTTTTCCATCAGATTTGATGTTAGGTTATATCACATTATGTTTCCAGTTTGTTCCTAATGTTGTGAAGTGTAAAAAAGAACAACCTCATAAACACTTTAGAACATTTGTGGGCAACCGAAATAAAATAATTATTATAAAACACAAAACAACTTGATTTAACAGATCTTGACAGAACTAGGGTTCATCAATTCTCTTTTTAAAACTCCTTCTGCTCTCCAAAAATGCTAAATGTAACCATTCATACTTAATTCAGTCCTCTTTCAGTCAGTTTACTTGTTGGTTAACTTCTTTCTCTGAATAACTTCCTGCACTTCACTATTCCACCACCAGGTTTCCTTATCTGTTCTCTGTCCAGATGACACACCAAGTACCGTCTCTCTAACTGTTGTTGCTGTAGTAGCTCAGTCATCTGGAAGCTCTTTCTTACCACCCAGACCCTTTAACACCTCCTCTCTGAACTCCTCACAACATTATTTTTTACTCAGCTTCCACCATTTGTTCTTCTTCTCTGATTTTACTTTTTCTCTTCTTCACAACAACAGTCCTTTTACACACAACCATCTGATCTGGCCACGCTCTCCCCTGCCACAACCTTACAGTTCCAAATCTGCCTCAGATTCCTCTTCTACACAGAATGTAGTCGACCGCCGTACTCCTTCCTCCACTCTTATAGGTCACTATGTTCCTCCCTCTTTTGGAAATAAATGTTGACTACAGACATTTCCATCCTCTTGGCAAAATCCACCACTATCTGTCATTCCTGTTTTTTTCCTTAACATCAACTGTACCCATCACTTCCTCATCCCCTGTTTCCTTCACCAACATGTCCATTCAGGTCTGCTCCGATCACCACTCTCTCCTCTCTGGGAATACTTACGATCAGTTTGTCTAGATTTGTTCAATATTTCTTTCTCCTCTATGTCACATCCAATCCGTGGCGTGGAGCATGACCACTGACAACATTTAGCATCAGATCTTCTACTTCTACCTTCAGACACATCACCCTATCTGACACTCTTTTCCTCTACTAAATTCCTTGCAAACTCATCATTCCCCACCCACTCCTCCATTCCTCTTCCTATCCACACCATGGTAAAATACCTTTAACCCTGTACCAATGCTGCAAGCTTTGTGGCCCTTCCACTTTGTTTTTGCACACATAATATGTCTACCTTTCTTGTCTACACCATGTCAGCCAGCTATGATTAACAGTAGAACAATTTCCACCAGTATCCTGTTTGTTGTTAACCCAGGCCTCAACCGATCTGATATGGTGCTGTGCTGTTTGGACAAACTTTGACAAAGGATCAAAGTCCATGCTCAATAATCCAGGTATACAATCCAACATTTTCAGTCAGGTCATCTGGACAGTTTCTTTTTTTTTTTGTGCTGAAACGTTTCGCCTTCGGTCCGGAAGGTTTCATCAGTCAAGGAAACACACAACAAAATTGATTCTTCCCCCAACAGCTTACTCCAAAGTGGACCATGTTGCTGTGTTCATTCGTGTTCATCTGCTCACACAGACTCTGCAAGCAGAACTGGTTTGTTCCACTTTGGAGTAAGCTGTTGGGGGAAAAATCAGTTTTGTTGTGTGTTTCCTTGACTGATGAAGCCTTCCGGGTCAAAGGCGAAACGTTTCAGCACAAAAAAAAAAGAAACTGTCTAGATGACCTGACTGAAAAATGTTGGTTTGACAAAGGATGTTTGTGTTTTAAGCCACATGGCCTTTTCAATGTTCTTTCCATGACACAGCCCTCACCGGCTGCTGTAATGTTGCTTCGTTTATTGTTTGACGTCACTGTCAAGCTTGGGGAAGCACTGAGTTTTCGGACCAGCATTTTCATTAACAAAATTATCTTGTTGTGGGGATGTATTTATTATTCCGTGTATTCTTACTTGTTCTTGAATCTGCGGTCATTATTGCACATATAAAATGGCACAGCAATCTATACAACCCCTTTTCACACTGATTCAAACACGGGGTTCCCCTTAAAAGGACCACAATGCTTTGCACTAAATAAAGATGGCAGTATATGTGAAATGGCTCATTTAATCATTATTTTATTTTCACTTAAAAAATATACTCTGGTTCAAAAAACATTTTTTGACAAACATATACACAGAAGAAATCACATGAGCTCTCTTTGCATGGTGGCAGACAATGATTTTTTGTTAATTTATTGATTGCAACCATATATATCTATTATGTGCTTTGAACCAACTCTAATTTTGATAAAATGATTGTTGCATCTGAGACTCAAGACTACTGAGGAAGTGCCATAAAGTGCAATATCATTGATGGCTACTTCACAATTATTCTTTCAAACATACCTACAGTCAAAATAATTTCTGTCCATGGCGTTACTTATTTTTTTTTTTTTTTACATTTTTCATCACAATTACAATACTTATTAGTAAGTTTCACTTTTTTGATGTCCAAATATGGTCACTTCTTGCTTCAAAAGTACAATATGAAACCTCAAATATTAAACTTGTCGCTTCAAAATGGCAGCTCATTAATCAACTTTTGACATAACTGAAGATATGTCTATAGTCTTTTGTTCCTCAGTCAGCTGTAATTGCATCATCATCTGGCTGATATTAAGTAAGTTTCCTTTTTTCTGCTCAAACAGCACTGACTCATGAAGGCACGGACTCCAATGGACTTCTAAAGATCTGCTGTGGTACCTGGGAATAAGCTGTCAGTAGCAGATCTTCAAATGGTGCATATGTTCATGGATGAAAATTATTATTCCAACATATTCTGCTAAACTATATTTGAATTAGGATTTGTTTAAAACTGAGGCTTCTATCATTCAAGCAACTTGCTTTCTCGCATCCTTGTGTCATGTTCTTTCCAACTTCTGTCTAATTCTGATTATTACAGTGGTCCTCTGTCAACATTGTAGCTACGCAGCCCCATACACAACAAACTGACTCTGTGTGTTTTAACACGTTTCTGTGAGTTTTACAGCAAACTGAGCTACCAAGAATTAGGCCAGTCACTTTTAAAGGGGATGCAACACCTCTGATGGATTCTTCTTCTTCAGAGGACCTGACTTAACCTTGTTGGATTTTTCTATCTGGATTATTGAGCACACAACAGGACATTTAAAGGGGATGAGTATTTTAGCAATCACTTATGTTACATTATATATTTTTGTTTAATGGGCATTACCAAGTTTGATTTCACTTTGTCCTACAGGACTTTTTCTCATATTATTTGTCAATAAAGGCCAACCACATCAGATTTATAACAGCGATAAAAGGCTAAAACATTCAAAGGAGTAAATACTACAGCAAACATTATACAGAACAATCCCAATGCTACAGCAGGCAACAGAGAAAATCATTAACTTTAAAGAAAAATATAAGGGTTATAAGATAAATAATTATTTCTGAAGATATACCTGTTAGAAAACTTTGATTGAAAGTTTGCTTTGGGAGACAATATGCTATTCTTGTTACTAGGATTGCTAGATGGTGTCTTTATCGGCTCATTTTGACACAGTCTGTCCCTTGTCTGTCTTCTTTGTATTTCTGTCTTCTCTTCTGCTTCTTGTGTTTGTTTCATTCTGCTTCTTGTTGTGTTATTCTGTTCCTTATGCATTAGACTGTGATTTCTGTCAGTTTCCGCTCACTCCTCAGCCTGTCTCTCCAGCCTCTAACTGATCATTCACACCTGTCCCTAATCAGCTACCTGCCCAGGTGCACTCTTTTTCCACTCTTCCTCTGCCTTACTAAAACCTCTCTTCCTCAACACTCTGTGTGAATACAGACCAATGGTCAGACCCAGACGTCCCGGTCCTCCTCTGCCCTGTCTGTTTCCATTTGTCCGATTACCTGCTTTGTTCAGTTTATTCTGATGTTCCGTCCTGTTCCTGCAAGCCTGTCGTCCTGTTTAGATCAATATTTGCTCGCCTGTAATTTTTTTTTGCTGCATTGTAAGCCTTTGTTTTGAGTTTGATAAATTATTTTATTTAAACTCCTGCTCTCTTCGCCTGACTGCCAGTGGGTCTGAAATCTGAGGATTGTGACACATTTTTAAACAAATCTCAATTACAACAAAAATCAGCATTTTGACTTTTACTACAGCTTGTGTTCATTTTGGCTCATTTTGCCAGCATGGGTCACATATACCATGGCAGGATGTCAGACCAACAAATTACAATTATATTTTTATTATTATAATGAATTTTCAAGCCATTGTTTGATTTTCCAGTTGCAACAATAAAATAAATTGTATTAAACTCACCTGTAAACAGAGCATTGGGAGTGGGATCAGCTGGATTAAAGTGTTTGTAGACGTTTCCAACCAGAGCTACGATCACCACTAGGTACACGGTCAAAATGTTACGCACCCATCGGTCCAGCACCCAGTTCTCCAGAATGAACCTGAAGACAGGAGGAAGCAGATGTTCAGCCGAAAAGAACAGTGAGGGCTGTACTTTTTCATGAATTGTATGTAATTGTATGTATTAATATGGCTGTAGCAATAAAGATCTATTATCTTTGTTTGTCTCGTTTGTCTCTATTTGTCCCTGTGACCTACATCCCACTTGCAATAAAAGTCAACCTTTTTTTTCTCCTAAGAATAATATAAAAATTATGCTGGTGAAGATTCTTATACATCCATCCATTATCTTTTACCTGCCTATTCCTTGGGGGGTCACTGATTGTGATTGCTGCACAGTGATTGCTGGTCATATCCAGCAATCACTGTGCAAGAGGCGGGGGGACACCCTGGACAGGTCTCCAGTCCATCACAGGGACACAGCGACAAACGAGACAAACAACCATTCATTTTCTCACTCACACCTAGGGACAATTTACCAATCAGCCTAACAAGCATGTTTTTAGTCTGTGGGAAGAATCCGGAGAAAACCCACGCATGCATGGAGAGAGCATGCAAACCCCACCCAGAAAGGCCCCATACCGGGATTTGATCTGGCAGCCTTCTTACTGAGAGGCAAAGGCTCTACCAAATGAGCCACTGAGCAACTGTGCCACCTTCTTAGTAGTGTTGTAGTACTTGAGCTCGGCCTTGGTCTTGAGACCGGTCTTAAGACCACTTTTTGATGGTCTTGGGTCTTGTCTCAAGACTCAACCGCATTTGGTCTCGGTCTTGTCTCGGTCTTGGACTGAGGATTCGGGATTTTATTTCAAGACCAGTCAAGACCACAACTGTGAAAATATCAATAAATTGCCGAATATTGTCCAGTTTATTAACATCTTTGTTTTTATTGGATGCAAAACGTACTGATTCAAATCCAAGTGATAACGTGACTCATTGCTAAATACACGTTTTTGTTACCACTGGCATGCCCACTCCCTTTCACTCTCACACGTTTCTGTACCACCAGAACAATACAGACAACAGAACGTAACGTAGCAACCAGGGGTGAAAGTAAGCCGGTATGGTCCGGTACAGTCCGGTACTGCGTACCACTAAAAGATTCTGCACCAGTATGTAGTACCTGGAAGAGAGGGGAGCGGCCACCTGCTGTAAAGCCTCATTCAGAACTAGTCACGGCTGCACTTTGGGTCAGACAAGATTCACTAGCAATAATCAGTCTAAAACACGACTTAATCAGTTAATAAATAGCTTTTTTCTCTCATTTCAAATTGTTTCTGAACTGTTTGTGCTGGAGCCTCGTTTCTTTACCACATTGAAGTTAATTTTACATTGGACGTTGGACATTCGAGCTCCGTGGCTTCAGCGGTGTGTTCCTCTCGTTCGATCCAAAGCAGGCAGTCTGATGTCGGTCAGCTGCAATCAGTCTGCCCCTCCACCAAGACGTAATGGTTCGCTTAGGGACCGTCAATAAATGACCGAACCAAACACTCTTCAGAAACAAAAATGTATATATTTTACATCATTTGACCCACTGACACAAAACAAATGTTAAACTACTCTAATAGACCAGACACACAAGACACCATCATTTATTTCTCATTTTAAAACATTTTATAATTAGTTATTGAGCGAAAACCATGATTTTGAACAGATAAATTATGTAAAATTAGAAAATGCTTTAAAAAGATAAATAAACGAGGGTGCCTCGTCTGTCAGGTCTAGTAGAGTTTAACATAAGTTTTGTGTCAGTGGGTCACATGACGTGAAAATTATTGTGCAAAAACCACTGAATGTCTGATTTCTTCATTATGTAGTTTTGAAAATTTATAAAAGTTGATGCATTCATTCAAAAGCAAACTTAAAGTTGCAGTATGTAACTTTTATAAAAAATGTTTTTGATAAAAGTTACATATGTTTTTTACATATTTATTAAAACTGTCACTATGTCGTGACAGTATAAGACAGATAATCTGTGAAAAGATTGAGCTCCAAGACTTGAGGTCTTGGTTTTGACCCCCAAAAGTCTTGGTCTTGTCTCGGTACACTCTGGTCTTGGTCTTGACTTGGTCTCCGGTTAGGTGGCCTTGACTACAACACTACTTCTTAATCATCCCAGACTTGGTTAATCCAAAATAATGTAAGAATCAAAATAACTAAACAGAATAAAAGACCAGATGTTATGGGTTTTTTTTTTTAAATTGGGGGTAAAAAATTTGATTGGCTTGTAACTGATTAGTGTGTTGCTCTGCTACTTCTTAAGTGATGACTTACCATCCCACTACTTCTGCAAAAAGGATGCACAGAGAGGCAGTTGCTGCTGTACTCTTGTCAACACCCCACAGGTGGAGAACCACAGAGAAATTGAGCAGAGAGGCAATGCTGGTCCATGTGGTGTAGACGGCCAAACCATTCTGGACCTGAGCATACAGACGAGCAGAACATTAATATTCTGAGACACAGCTAATCTTTATGAATCATCACTCTGCCTTACCAGTATTCGGAGACAGGCCAGGTCTTTGCCATGATACGTATGCAACCACAGTCCATAGTAGTCTGTGGCATAGCAGGAGCAGAACAAAGCACAGTAGTTGGTAAACGCTATCAGGATCAGCACAACCAGAGATGCCAACATCAACCTGCAAAACAAAGAAAAAAGATAGAAGGACCATAAATGTCACATCAGGAGTCTTGCATTGTAGTTTAGAAATAGTTAGGTGTTGATAAGAACTCATCATAAGAACTCTGACTGATCTACAGCTACACTCATAGGCAAAGCAAACTGTGACGCAGTGTGTGGTCTGGCAATGTCATTTTAGTACTGGTTATAACAATTTTCAATTTTTTGAATTAGTAGCACTTCATTGGTTCAGACAACTGGTGGTAGCGTTACTTCTCAGTTTACCAATTTGCTTTCCTTGGGCCACTCTTTCATGGATCACCACCTTATCGTGGTAGAAGAGTTTTTGTGCTGAATGATATAGGAGCTACAGTATACTGTCAAGGGCAATTGCACATGCTAGGGTCTCCCAAGGCAGATTGGTGACAAGGCAAAGAGTGATTTACAATAGTCTTATGGACATTAGTCAGCAAGGATTGTGTTGTCCCTCACCCAGATGTGGGTTATCAGCACCCCACCCTAAAGCTTGGCCTGGGGGAGGGGCACATTGGCTCTTTTATGTAGTTTTTTACCTTCTGGAACTATTTTATATGGAGAAACTTTGTCTTTTAATGTTTATGGGAAAAAGTTTGGGCAATTCCCATCATGGCCATAAAACGCAGCTGACTGCAACTGGTGGGGGAGGGGAATGCTACTCTTCTCTTCATCCATCCATCCATTATCTTTACCCGCTTATTCCATTTTGGGTCATGGGGGTCGCCGGTGCCCATGTCCAGCAATCACTGTGCGAGGGGCGGGGTACACCCTGGACAGGTCTCCAGTCCATCACAGGGACACAGAGACAAACGAGACAAACAACCATTCACTCTCTCACTCACACCTAGGGACAATTTAGAGTTATCAATCAGTCTAACATGCATGTTTTTGGTCTGTGGGAGGAAACCGGAGCACCCGGAGAAAACCCACGCATGCACGGAGAGAACATGCAAATTCCACCCAGAAAGGCCCCTGGACCAGGATTTGAACCAGGGACCTGCGGGCTGAGAGGCAGCAGCTCTTCTTCACTTCATATGAACAGGAACAAATCTTGCATTGTCTTCATTATTTTATGAAAAGGGATTTAAACCACAGGAGCATTACTTTGGAAAAACATCTGTTCTGACCACTGCAGACAGAGAACACCTTATAAGAGCTGCAGGCATGGAGACGTCTTAACCCGCTGCCTTAACAAATCTGTCCAGTTTGACCCTACTGTCTGAATGTTCAAATGCTTCCGTAAACTCCAACCACTGCAAGCGGACATCGAGGATCAATGAAACTTGTAGCTGACTGTCGTTTATGGCTTTCATGTACAAACAAAAATATTAAAAATGTTGGTTTAAAAATATCAACCCAGTTGACACAATATGCTTAAACCTGTACACAACACTACATCAGTCACAGTTCAGGATGGGCTGAGTGTTAATGAGCATCACTGAAGTAATAAATACAAATAGGACATACTCCCTGTCCCACAGCATGAGCCACGTCATGTTCAGCAGCATGTTGCACAGCAAGAACAAGTAGAAACTGTAGGGTAGTAGAGACTGAGCCCAGGATCTATACGCAGGAAGATAAATATCAATTTATTCTGCATGTTGTTCCAGTAAATATTCATAATGAATGCCAAGATGTTAGCTTACCCTCTAAAGACATATGAAGTGAGGTAAATGACCATCAGAGTGAGCCAGGTATAAATAACACCCCAGATGGAGAAGGTCCAACCAGCTGGAGTGATGTCCGTCTCATAACGGGCCGACACATTGCCAGTACTGGAGTGGAAAGGACCTGGACATGAAAGGCATTGAGCATTAGAGACACTCAGCACTGGGTAAACAGTGAGCAGCCAGATTCATACAATCATGGTTGTTGGGGGTTTTTAGCATTTGCTTTCCAAAATAAAATTAATACTTAAATATTTTAGACTAAAATTAATTTTTTTTATTATACTAATTTGGGTCAAAATCAAAGCCACAAAGCTGTTTTCCTCCACTCCAGTTATATAACATATGTATATATTTTCCTCTTTTGGTTGCTCCCTTCTTCAGGGGTCGCCACAGCGAACTAAGTCGCATGAAGACTTGGCGATTGTTTTTACGCCGGATGCCCTTCCTGATACAACCACAGACCATCGAGCTACCACAGCCCTCTGTGTGGAGCAGAGAGCTGCCATCTAGGGCACCCAGGGGAGCAGATGGTGGGGGTTAAGGGCCTTGCTCAAGGGCCCAGAGTGGGGAAAATGAGGGTGGAGGCAGGTGTGGGTGCTTCACCAATCCCACCCACATTTGGATGTTGTCGGTACCGTGAGTTGAATCAGTGATCTTCCGATCACAGGCCCACCTTCTCTTACCTCTGCGCCACCACTCCCTCAGTTGTATAAACGCTAATTAAATTAAACAGTGAGCTGCTGCAATCAACCACTGCACTTCAAACTAAATGTGGAGGATGAGCGTTCAGACAGTCTTAAATAAACTTTCAGATATTGTACTTCAAATCAATTAAACTCAATAATCTTTAAAAGCTTTTTTTGTTGTTGGAAAGAAAATAAACATCACTTTTCTGTGCTTAATTACTTAATTTTGGCTAAATGAAGTCACAATTAACTCAAATATGGGAAGAAAACAATCTCAAGATCTTATAAAGAGAATCCTGCAGAAAATGTTGGTATTTGATGTGAGCAGCTCATTTCTGAACTTGTACAGTTGCATTTGTCAGATAATAGATATTCATATCTTTGTTTTGAATAAAATAACTTTACGTTTGTATCAGTTCATGCTTCAGCTACTGCAACACCCTCTTCCAAAAATGCATTAACAGATCCCAGATGTTTACAGAGCTCAGTGGCCAAACTTGCAACACAAACCATGAGCAGAGGCAACATTCCTGATATTTTAGACTCTTTACAAAAGGCTCCTTGTAGCTTACAGAATTGATTTAAAGCACTTAACTTACTTCATGGTCTTTCAGCTTATCTAATATTTTGTTCTGAATGAATCAGTGTGCGAAGTCTTTGTTCCAGAGGTCAAAAAGCTGTTGAAGTGATCAAAATGTATATTTTTGCCCATGTTTTTTTAAAGCACACTTTTATCAAAGGACTTTTCCTCATCTGAAATAATGCCCAGCAATTTTACGATACTTTATAGGGACTTGTTGCATTGTTTTTGCTATCCTATTACACTGTACTTTATTTTTTACATGTAAAGCATTTCACATTCATATAAAAAAGTGCTATAAAAAAATTAGTTATAACAGTTGTACAACAGTGAGTTTAGAACAAGATTTAAGTGGCTTCAGTGTACTTCTACAATATAAATAAACCGAGCGCATGCTTAGTTTTACAGTCGGTTTTATAAAATTTAAAACAATTTGACTTTCTCTCTGGTTTTGTAAGATAAATTACTTCCATATTGATCTTTCAGAGACTTCTTGAAGTGTCCACAACACAGTAGGGAAGGAAAGAGTCACATTTTTTAATGCCACACCCTGCTGAGGATGCTTTTCCTTCTTTGCAGCAAAACTAAAGGCTGTGGGCGAGCAACAACAACTGCATATTCTCAATAATTTACCTGAAAAGTACTTTTATTTACAACTGTTGTTCACAATACTAAGAACTGCTGTCGTCATTTTGTGAGCAACAGATGTTTTTTATCTCGACTTGCAGTGCAGGTTTATATAAAGTCTGCTCAAATAACACGGCTCTTTAATTTAACTCTAAACTCTGGTTGCCATGGAAACAACACCGCTGTATTTTGGGGAAACAAGCTGCCAGGAGGAACAGACCATATTAGATAACTGGAAGTCCTCCCTACAGAAAAAACCATAACCGGGAAAACAGCAGCGGAATAGAACGAAAGTTAGTCTCCAAACATGTTGTCAAACTTTACTGTGAAACAACTGGAAAGGTAGACGCAAATATAGAAGCAAAAGCTCGAAACCGAATATTAAAAAGTACGTAGCCGCCATAAAAAGTAGACCCACCCGACCGAAGAAAGACTGCGAACTTACCTCTGCCCGCTCCGGCCAACGCGTTCACGACCAAGACGGCTACAAAAACCACAGCGCACAAGATAATGATACAAATACGGCCCAAAATGTTGTCCTTCATTTTAGCTGCTTCTCTGCTGCGTTTAGGAAAAACGCTTCTGAGCTGCGGGGCGGGTGGTGAGAGCACGAGCGCAGTTTATACTGTGGTGCATTCACGTGACTCACGTAAACGCCCCTTCTGCTAAAGAGTACGGTTGTTCCGTTCAGTATAACTTTGATCCGTCGAACTCTACAATAAATCAGGATGATAAAACAAAATCTGATTTAAAATAAATGCAAACATTTTGTTTTAACAGTATAAATTAAGGCTGTTTGCAGTGCTGTATGGGCAAAACCTAGAGGACTGACACTGATTGGAAGAGGGTTTTTTTTTTTTGTTTGTTTTAACTGATTTAAAACACATTAGGTATTGCAGAGAAATGTATGTTACAAAAATGTAGACAATGGCCATGTATATCCATGGTAAATATTGGTTAAACGAAGTGTCATTATATGAGTCATCTGTTATGAGAAATTTCTCATGTTTCATAAGTTGTTGTTAAAGGGGTAAAAACTATGATTTTAGCAATATTGTATACTCTAATATTATAAAAGTTTTGTTTTGCTCTTCTACAAACATTTCCAAGTATTTTAAGCTTGTAAAACTTCAATGTTTACTACTTTGCATGTTTGTAAATATATTTCATGCGTTTGCATTGGGAGTGGTGTAACTTACTATGGACATTGAATGCACCAAATGATAGTTATAAAAGGTGCAGTTGTTTACATGTTGTTATTATTAGTTTAAACCCCAACTATATTTAATGCAATTACTGGTATCTAGCCTCTTTACTAAGTCTGTGATAACAAAAATACTAGTTCAGTCTTCAAACAACATGTTAGACTAATAACTTTGCAGGTCTCTGGAAAACTTACCGGAAAAAAAACAATTAACCAGAGACAGCAGATCCCATAACCTAATGCAGAGAACTTATGATGTAACAAAATATGTAGCTTTACATAATACAACCCACAATCTTGTGCACTTTTGGTAAATGTTGGTATACATCATATGAATCAGTGCCTAAATATTTCCCTTGTTTACAAGCAGTTACAAATAGGATTAAGGGGAAAGAGCGTTATGACAAGAGAGGAGAAAAGAAATTAACCATGCTGTAAGCATTTTATTTCTTTGCAGGTTCAGCTTTGACACAGGAATGAATAAAATACATTTATCGTGTGCACGTTGAATAGTTGTATTTTAAATGCCATAAAAAATAATACTTTTTGTCAGGGGATTTTTGGTCAAGGTTTATCACTAATTAATGTTAAATTAATGTTGAACCATGTGTGTGAGTTACCAGAGAGTTCTATTTTCTCTCAGAGAGGAGCTGATTTGATCCTGCATGTACATCTGGGAGGCTGAGGTCATCAGTGACTGTCTGTGAGGTTTGATAAATGTATATAAACAATTCTCGCACACTGTCCGGTGCAGATTCTCGCGACCGAGCTCCAATGATGCATCTGTGTAAGCCTGTGAGTGTGTCTGCCCTTGCAAATAAAAACCAGTTAAATATTTTCTCGTGTCCGTAAGTGTGGCTTCTTTCAGGAAGTAAAATGAATAGAGGATATTTTTATCTAACACTTTCTCTTTTTTATGCATTTTGTCTAACTTGTACATTTGTAAAATCTAAACTCAATGAAAATGTTTTGTCCCATCAAATTAATCCTCTGTCTCTGCACTGTTCATTTTGACAAAAACACAGTAATACTCATGTCAGAGCTCTAGGAAGTCCATATTAATGGCATACAAAAATACAGAAAAGTAAATTTTATGGATATTCCCTAAAACATCTATTTTTCTTTTATATGTTCCTCTCAGTTACTAACCACTTATAACACATAATCAAAGGCTAATGGCGACTTTATGAGGATAAAGTGAGACAGACAGAAACATCAAGAAATATGGCTAGAGGCAACATTATCAGGCTCGACCCGTTTGTTAGATTAGATCAGGGGTTTTAAAAGTGTGGGACAGTTAGCCATTGGAAGATGAGGTGACAAATCATTAGAAAATATTGCAGAGTCAGACACAGATGAAACTGCAATGTCAGAGTCCAGATGTGGAGAGCTACAGAAACACTGGAAAGGCTTTGAGATGTTTTCTTGGCATGGCCAGTTATTTCAGAAACTTCTGCCGTAACTTTTCAACTGTTGCGCATGCATGTGAAAACATTAAATTACTCTAATCGTACAAGACTGTCATCTTGACATCAGACACAAAACCAGTGCAGACCATACGTTGGTTGATGCCAAGATGGTGGTGGTGTGTGGGTAATCCTGCTGTGCAGTAACACATCTGGCACTGGCTGGTCTCCCCAGACTTCTTCCAATGGACATCCTGGTTGGACTGTTCATCTGCTGCTCCACCAACAAAAGGACATGCTCATCAGTTTATGTTCAGCTCTCCTGCTAATGAAGGCGGCTGTGATTTAGACTGAGCAGCTTGTCATTTTGTATGGGGGTCTTGTTGAAGTAAAATATTTAACCTTGCTATATTTGTTTTGACTGTGACCAAGTACTTGGCATAAGGCCTGTCTCGTTGAGGTAACTGTTAAAACAATGTGAGTTTTTGGAGGCAGGCCCAGAAATCAAAGCATTGTTTGTTAGTTTTCCTTAGTGACTAAAAGCTTTGCCTTTTGATTGTTTGTTTAAAAAGTTATATCAGTGAATTTCCTTCCTCTTTTTGGTTTGTTGAGGGCCGAGATGGGGTAGAGGTACGTCAGCCGATCTGGGACCAGAAAGTCGCAGTTTGACTCCCAGCCATTCCAATATGTTGTGGTGTGTCTCTGAGCAAGACACCTATTGCTTACATATCTACCCACTGCTCCACCTGGGTGTATCTCAAGTGTGATTGGTTAAATGCAGAGAACTAATTTTGCCATTGTAGAAACATACAATGATGACAATCTCAGACTTCCCTTCCCTTATTCAAGATTGTTAATTTTTACACAGGATTAAATATGTCTTAATCTTAAGTGACATCTGTTTTACTTGATGGGTAGATTGCATTTCATTAGAAGTTAAATTGTAATCCATAACATGTGGTAATTTGTACTTTTACTTTTTTGGAATCACCAGACTGACAACATCAAATGTGAGTCAGAAAGGTGAAGCACCCACACCTGCCTCCACCCTCAAATGCCCCACTCTAAGCAAAAGAGCAAAGCCCTTAAACCCCACCATCTGCTCCCCTGGATGCCCTAGATAGCAGTTCTATTTCGTATAGGCTTCGCCCTTTAAGAGCTGTCGCTTAGTGGGTTTATCCCGTCATGCAAAGCATCGCACTGAAAAATTTAGTCCATGCCCACCTGCTGTGTGGGCCCCACCCAGTCCGTATAAATTACGTTAAGAGCGGGTAATCGTCTCCCATTTTTCTTCAGCGAGCTAATAGCACTGTCAGAAGAACGAAGAAGGGAAGTTGTCTAGCTTGACCAGCTCAACCTTTGTTAAGGCTGCCTGTGGCCCCGCCACGCCAACCTCCTGCCGCCCCAGTGAGTTTTCCTCCCCGAGGAGAAGCAGACGAGCAGTCTTGTTTCAAGGTAAGCGCCGAGGAATATTTCTCAATGGTTGGTCGCTACACGCTGGACGACACCATCTTGTAATTTTCCTTTTATTGCCGACTCTCGGAGCGAATTGGATGGCTCCTCCGGGACAGGCGACGTCAGCAGCAGCCCCCGCTTCTCACTCCCTCCTGGAGAGCGTAGTGTCAGAACGAGGGGGTTTGAGCGAATGCTTCCCGCATCAGCGACCACACCGCTCCCAGCCGTCGGTACCCTCCTCTGGAGCTGCCCGGCATAATCCAGGAGGTGGCTGACATGAAGGGATTTTTCCGTCCCTCTCCTTCCCCCATCCAGATCGGATGATCTAGCGCAGGGGTGGGCAATTATTTTTTCCATGGGGCCACATGAGAAACAGCAAATATTGTGGAGGGCTGGCACAAATGACTTTTTCATTCAACCTTTATTTAGACAGGTAAATCCCATTGAGCCTCGAGGACTCATTTACAAGAGAGACCTGATTTCAACTTAACTCAATACTGCATAATATTAATAGTATTTCATTATTAAAAGCAGTACATAGCACTGTTTTAACAAGCTGGTAAGAGTATTTGTTATGATTAAGCAACGAAAAATCGAGGTTTCCTTACAAAAAATGTCATTTATTCAATTAAATTTCCCAGTACAATGGTAAACTGTTAATATTTTTACCATTTGTGACGTTATGTTAATGATCATTTTCAGTCACATTCACCCCAAAACTCATTTTGAGTTTTATATACTGCTGGAAAAAGTTCTTAGCTTTGTAAATATATCACAATATTGTCTTTGTACTCCAAATATTATGAAACATCATATCATAGTGATCGTCACTGAACTGTGATTTCGAGTCCCGGTTCTTTACGTGCCTACATTTGTAGTCTAAACATCTCATTTGGTGTTTATCAGTTCTTTTTTCTTGTTTAGTGAGAGAAGTTTAGTCTCTGTTGGGCTTTAACGGAAATGTTAAAGTCAGGTTGAAGGTCTGAGGTGGAGATGTGAAGCAAAGCTGACATCATCAGTGAGAGAGGATCTATATCTGGATTTGGTTAACTTCATTTGTTTACATATGTATTTTGTAATTCCCCTTACGGGGGCCGGTCAGAGTCAACCAAAGGGCCGCATGTGGCCCTGGGGCTGTACAACGCCCAGGTCTGATCTAGCGGGAAGGTTTCTGGGCTCCACTCTGGCTCACCGTCCTGATCCCATCTGGCCTCGTTTTCCCAACAGTGACGTCCTGCTGGAACGAGGCCGCAGCTGGTTCTGGTAGACTGAGGGCGCCGGTTCCCACATTCGCGCCCATCACCAGAGTGGAGGGGTTTCACCGAGTGGAAATTCCCTCGGTGCCCCCCTGGAGCTGAGCCTGGCGAAGGCTTTCGGAGCAAAGATGTCCAGGTTGGACCAGCGTCCTGCGCCTCTGGGAAAGCATGACGAGACGGTGACGTCGCTCTCCAACCGAGCTCACCAGTGTGCGTTCCAGGCGGCCGCAGCGAACGATACGTTATGCTGCTGGCGTACAGCGTTTCAA